GACTCGCTTGAGCCCAGGAATTGGAGGTTGCTGTGAGCTGTGATGCCATGGCACTCTACCCAGGGGGACAGCTTGAGGCTCTGTCTCAAAAAAAAAGGAAAATATTGAACTAGTGCCAGAACAATTTATTTGGGGAAAGAAAAGTCTTTTCCACGTGGAGGAGGGGCGGTGGCATGGGCAGCTCCGGCTCCCGTGCCGAGAAAGTCCTGCTCCGAGAGCTGGGAGTATCTGGAGGCGCGCTTGGTGCAGTCGGGAAGCCAGGCTTATATTAAAAAAAAAAGTCTTTTCCACAAATGGTGCTGAGACAAATGGGTATCTACACAAACAAGAATTAAACTGTACTCCCTACTCACTTCACATCAAACACAAAAATGAACTAAAATGGATCAGAAACCTAAATGTAAGAAATAATGGTATCAAACTCTTAGAAGAAAACAGGGACCTTGGATTAGGCAGTAGTTTCTTAAATAGGACAGAAAAAGTGGAACTAGCAAAAGAAAAATTGGAATTCATCAAAATGAAAAACATTTGTGCTCCACAGTCACCAAGAAGGTGGAAGAAAACCCACAGAATGGGAGAAAACCATGTATCTGAGAAGAAGCTCGCACCTAGAATATATAAAGAACTCCTACAATTGAACAATAAACAGAAAATCCAATTTTAAAATGGACAAAGGATATGAACAGACATTTCTCTGAAGATATATATGTTGTGTGTGTGTTTGTATGTAAGAAAAGATGCTCAGCACCATCAGTCCTTAGTGAAATGCAAATCAAAACCATAATGAGATAATACTTCACACCCACAAGGACAGCTAAAAATCAAATGTAGACAATGACAAATGTTTGCAAAGCTGTGGAGAAACAGACCCTCTTGTACACTGCTGGTGGGACTGTAAAACAGTGCAGCAAACATGGAAAATGGTTCAGCACTTCCTCAAAATGTTAAACATAAGAGTAATAATATGAGTCAGAAATTCTATCTTCTGTTTTTTGTTTGTTTTTGTTTTGTTTTCTGAGACAGAGTCTCAAGCTGTCACCCTGGGTAGAGTGCCATGGTGTCATAGCTCACAACAACCTCCAACTCTTGGGCTCAAGCAATCCTCTTGTCTCAGTTTTTCTATGTTTTAGTAGAGCTGGGGTCTCGCTTTTTGTTCAGGCTGATCACGAACTCCTGAGCTCAAGCAATCCACCTGCCTCAGCCTCCCAGAGTCCTAGGATTACAGGTGTGAGCCACCATGCCTGGCCAATGACTCAGAAATTCTACTCCTAGGTAGAATTTCTACCCAAGAGAATTCAAAATATTTGTCTACCCAAAAACCCATAAGCAAATGGTCATAGCATAATCATTCACAGTAGCCAAAAAAGTAGGAAAAAAATCTGCTGTCCGTGAACAAATGAATTTTAAAAATGCAGTATAACCACATGGTGGAATATTATTTGGCAATAAAAAGGAACAAACTATTCATCTACAATATGGATCAATCTTAAAAATATTGCACTGGCAGCCAGGGAGGCCAAAGCGGGTGGATTGCTTAAGCTCAGGAGTTCAAGACAAGCCTGGACAAAAGCAGGATCATGTCTCTATTTACTCTATTTTAGTAAAAATAGAAAAAACTGAGGCAAGAGGATCACTTGAGCCCAAGAGTTGGAGGGTGCAGTGACTTAGGAGGCCATGGCACTCCACCCAGGGCGACAGCTTGAGACAATGTCTCAAAAAAAAAAAAAATTGCACTGGGTGAAAGAAGTCAGTCACAAAGGATTACCTATTGTATGGACCCATTTTTATGAAATGTTCAGGATAGAAAAGCCATAGAAACAGAACTAGATTAGGGTTCCAGGAAGGGAGGAATGGGGAGGGATGGCTAATGGATAGGGTGTTTGTTTGGGGGGAAATGAAAATGTTCTAAAATTTGGTAGTGGTGATGGCTGTACAATTCTGTATATACTAAAAGCCACTGAATTATATACACTTTAACTGACTTACTTTTTGTAATATGTGAATTGTATTTCTCTTTTTTTTTTTTTTTTAAGAGACAGAGTCTCACTCTGTTGCCCTCGGTAGAGTACCATGGCATCACAGCTCACAGCAACCTCCAGCTAGCTCCTGGGCTTAGGTGATTCTCTTGCCTCAGCCTCCAGAGTAGCTGGGACTACAGGCACCTGCCACCACACCCAGCTATTTTTTGTTGTTGTTGTTGCTGCAGTTTGGCCAGGGCTGGGTTTGAACCTACCACCCTCAGTATATAGGGCTGGCTCCCTACTCACTGAGCCACAGGTGCTGCCCTGTGAATTGTATTTCAATGAAGCTATTTAACTATATCACATATATATTCTTCATTTATTCATATTTAATGAGAACCTACCAATCTTGTATTAGTGATTTTAGAAGGAATAAAGATATTACTGTTCTCAGAGATCTTATACTCCATTAGACTGTACAAAGTAAAGTACAATAAGAGGTTATACAGACTATAAAGTTTACATGCCAGATGCACAAAGTAAAATAAAACAAGATCACCTGGATTTTTTTTTAAGCCAGAACCTCAAGCTGTCGCCCTGGGTAGAGTGCCATGGCATCACAGGAACCTCAAACTCCTGTGCTCAAGGAATTCTCTTGCCTCTGCCTCCCAAGTAGCTGGGACTATAGTAACCCACCACAATGCCCACTATTTTTTGGTTGCAGCCTTTATTGTTGTCTGGCAGGCTGGGCTGGACTGGAACCCGTCAGCTCTGGTGTATGTGGCTGACGCCTTAGCCGCTTGAGACACAGGCACCGAGCCAAAACACTGGATTTTTTACGTGATAAAACATACCCTCTCAAATGTAGAGCTAAAATCATGTTTAATGGATAGTAAAAGCCCTGAATTTAAAGGCATGCAGTTGCATATCTAGCACAAAAGAGATAGTTAAAACCATATAAAGAAGGGATCAGGAAACTACAGCCCATGGACTGGCCTTCTTGTAGGAGGCACCTGTGACACCTCTGGCAATGACAGACTGGGGAAAGGATTTAACATCATCGGCTCTTGTTAGCGAGACACATGACAGCACGAAAGTATGTATATCATTAGTTAGCAGTCTCCGCACCTGTGGCTAGGTGGTCATGGGATTACTTCTATAAATAGCTTCGGGAGAAGTTAGCAGGGGTTCCTCCTTTGGCTCAGCTTCTCGCTTGGAGGAGGACGCCTGAGAGGTGCTTCCCTACTAAGACTGCTGCTGAGATGCTCACTCCTGTGACTTCTAAGGTGGTTCAGTACCTGAGGCCTGAACGAGACCTACCCCAAGTAAGCTGGCGCAGCAGCACACATCCAGAAAGTTGAGTGGGCTGGGTCGGAAACCTAGTGTTCTGGCTCTGACAAGGCCCTGGGTCGGGCCGGAGTCACGCCCTCACGGCCCCAACACCCTCTGTTTTTGTAAATAAAATGCTATTGGAATATTGTCATACCCATTCATTTACTTCAGCTGCAAGGACAGCATTGAGGATTTATCCTAGGAGTACATAGATAAAACAAATAACAGCCCCCCCCCATATATGATAATAGTACACGAGGAAATGGTAAAACACTGGGAACATTTCCATTAAAACTGGGACAAACAACCCAACAAACAAACAACCATAAAACACCAAAAAGTAAATTGGGACAAAGCAATTACAGTTGACTTTAGACAACATGGGTTAGAACTACACAAGTCCACTTATCCTCAGATTTTTTTTAGTAAAAACAGTAGGCCTTCCACTTGCAGATTTTACCTTTGCAACCAAATGCAGATCAAAAACATAGTATTCTCAGGATGCAAATCCAAGAATATGGAGGGCCAGGCGGCACCTGTGGCTCAAAGGAGTAGGGCACTGGCCCCATATGCCCGGAGGTGGTGGGTTCAAACCCAGCCCCGGCCAAAAATGGCAAAAAAAAAAAAAAATATGGAGGGCCAACTTTTTGTATCCTTGGATTCCACAGCGCCAACTTCAGGACTTAAGTTTGCACAGATTTGGGTATCTGTAGGGGTCCTGGAACCAGTTCCCCTTGGATACCAAGGGATGTCTGTACATTCAAAATTGTAATTACTAGAAGTCCTGGCCATTGCAGTTAAGACAAGAAAAACATGGAGGGAGATATAAATATTGGGCAGGAAGGGACAAAGCTCCATTTGAAGAATATATCATTATCTACCCAGAAAATCTAATAAATAACTAAAAAACTCTTTTTTTTTTGAGACAGAGTCTCAAGCTATTGCCCTGGGTAGAGTGCCATGGTGTCACAGCTCATAGCAACCTTAAGCTTTTGGGCTTAAGCGAGTCTCTTGCCTCAGCCTCCCAAGTAGCTAGGACTATAGGCGCCCGCCACAATGCCTGGCTATTTTTTGGTTATAGTTGTCATTGTTGTTTGGCAAGCCTGGGCTGGATTCAAACCCGCCAGCTCCAGTGTATGTGGCTGGCGCCCTAGCGGCTTGAACTACAGGAACTGAACCAAAAAACTCTTGAACCTAATAAGAGTTCTGTAAGTTGACTAGATATAAAATCAACATAGGGAAATCTATGGCCAAGTGTGATGGCTCATGCCTATAATAGTAGCACTTCAGAAGGCTGAGGTAGGAGGATTGCTTGAGGCCAGGAGTTTGAGATCAGCCTAAGCAACATAATAAGACCCTGTCTCTACAAAAAAATTTAAAAATTAGCCTGTAATCCCAACTACTCTGGAGGCTGAGGTAGAAAGATCTCTTAAGCCAAGGAGTTTGAGGTGGCAGTAAGCTATAACGATGCCACTGCACTCCAGCTTAGGGAACTGAGTAAGACATTATCGCAAAAAACAATAAAGAAAGAGACAAGATAGCTGGAGACTCTGGAAAAGGTACAAGGTTTACTTATGGATCCATATGGCCATTATAAAGGCTTATAAACTGAGTTCATTTAGAGCTGGTTAACACTATATTCTCTGCTTACTCTGGAACACTCTAAGAAAGTCATAGGAAACCTGGTATATTTATCACAGGCTATTACTGTGCTTTTTTCTTTTTTGAAACAAGGTCTATAGTACAGTAGCAGGCTCACAGTTGAAGGTGACCTCAAACTCTTGGGCTCAAGTAATCCTCCAGCTTGTGCCCCCTGAGTATCTGGGACACAGGTATATCCCATCAGGCTTGGATAATTTGTTTTTTATAGACATAGAGTCTCACTATGTTGCTGAAGTTGGTCACAAACTCTTGGTCTCAAAAGTCAGCCTCCCAAAGTGCTGGGATTTCAGGTATGAGCTACCATTCCCAGCTGGGAGTGTTTTTCTAACATTACCTATACAGAAAAACAATCTTACTGGAAAATTATTTTCCTTTATCCATATGGACAATACCAATACTTAAACTGGCTAGCTATCCATTTACTATGATTTCCAGGAAGACTAAGTACACATTTGCAGCTCAAATTTATTCCAACATTGTACAATCCCTCCCTATAATTTGGATATCAATTTATTAACTTTTTTTTTTTGAGACAGAGTCTCACTTTGTTGCCCTCAGTAGAGTGCTATGGTGTCATAGTTCACAGCAACCTCAAACACTTGGGCTCAGCTGATTGATTCTCTTGCCTCAGCCTCCCAAGTAGCTGGGACTACAGGCACCTACCACAACACCTGGCTATCTTTAGAGATGAGGTCTCACTCTGGGTCAGGCTGGTTTCAAATCTGTGATCTCAGGCAATCCACCTGCCTTGGCTTCCCAAGTGCTAGGATTACAGGCGTGATCCACTGTACCCAGCCTAACTTTCTAAATTTTCTTTTGGCTCTAATATTCCATCCCATCTATATTTTCCTTTACTGTACTATTCCTTTTATCATATGGATTTGAGAGAGATTTAAATGATAGATGGATGCCTTACCTGCAAATTGATCTTTTTTTCTGCAGCTCTTGGACAGAGATCTATGAAAGTAGAAATGGAGAGAACAGAAAAACCTGAGACACCAGGACTGCAACATAGAATGCTGTTCTATCAGGCCAGAAGCACCACATTGCTGCCTCAGAAAATGCCAGCTAGTGGGAGAATGATATTTCGAGCAAGTCAGGAAAGTCCATGTTCCATAAGGACAAATCTCTATTTGTGATCCTGTTGCAAATATACAGAACTCAGAAAAGGATGTTGGCATTCCTATCTTACTGCTCTAACATCAAAGTGTTAACTTTTGAACCAGTCATTTTTTTTTTTTCTCCCAGAAATTTATCCTAAGGAAATAATGAATGAGTAAAAAAGCCACAAGCCTGATCTTTGGAATTCAGTAGGTACAGAAATTCTTCCTTCTGTGATTTTCTGGTTTCTGTTCTGCAGGTGGCATAAAAGATCTCAAATTAGATTGGGCTCTCTTGAAAGGGCTGGGTTCAGGGACATTTTTATTTTTTAAAGCTGGAGCCTTTAGTTTAGACTCCAAATCTGTTTCTGTCTCTCTCAAAACTCATCATCTCCTATGAGCTTAGTCTGGGCGTTTTGAAATTCTAACCAGCACTGCCAGGGCCCCAGAAAGGCTAAAATGGGCAAGAGAGACTCACAGCTTCATTTACTCCAGCTTCACTGGAGATCTGCAGATACACCAAGAGACCCTAAGTAATCACCACCAATTGAAATTTATGTAGCTTTTACTTTAAAAGAAGAATAAATCCAACACTGTTTTATGAAGGAGTGTGACGTGGGGAAAAAAGAAATTTGAAGAAAACGTATCTGGGATAGAGTCTCAGCTCTCCCACATACTAAGCTGTGTGCCTGTGGGCAAGTAACTCCACCTCTTTCAGCTTCAATCAATTCATATGCAAAATAGCGATAGCATTTATTGCAGATGATTGAGGTGAGAATACCTTAAAAATGCATAGCATTTTCTCTAAAAATACTTTCTTCTTGGATCCCTTTAAGTGTCTTAAAATTTCCTATCGCAGGCTCTAGTAGGGCCATCTGTGCTCTCAGAACCAGGAAAGGTACAGTTAGATGCACAGACTCCTACACAGTGCCCTTTACCTACAAGAGAGGAATGCAAATGGAGCCCCACAGGGGTTCTGAGAACCTACCCAGAGCTAGAGTTGGGAGTCCTATTCTTGCCTTCTCCGAAGACCCAAGAGTTAGAAAAGGATCCACATCCCCAAACCTAAAGTCACCGCACTAGAGGATGTAAGATTTTTCTTTGGTGGGGTAAACAAATCCATAGTCATTCCTGCCTTTCTCCCTGCCTTTCTCGTACGTCCCCCGAGTCTGGAAAAGCCATACCTGCCACCTTGTCACGGCCTCATTCTCAGCACTGGCTGCAAGCCTAGAATCAGGTTACAGCCTAGTCCGGAGACTAAAGAAGCAGCAACTCCCTGGACTTCACCAGCCACAGGTCTGAAAGCAAAAATACCGGCTTCCGTCTACTGCGCATGTGTGGAAGTACCTGGAGTGCCCGGTCTCCTACCGGGTGCAGGTCTTCCGGCAAAGACCACGTTTCCCACAAGGCTCCTTTCCGGAAGGCGTCTACACTTTTTCCTCTTTTATGGGCGGTTCTGGAGTTGGTATCTCTGGGGCTGACGCTCATGTATGAGAAGGATATATAAAATCATTTTCATTTGAAAGGATAGCCATCAGAATTTTTAAGTACTGGAAAGTCAAAATCAGCTACGTAGTGTTTCTGTAAGGATGGTCGTGTTCATAGTGAAATAATAAGAAAAAATTATTAACTCATAGTTGTTGTTGTTTTTTTTTTTTTAGATAGTCTCACTTTGTAGCCCTATGTAGAGTGCGGCGACTTCACAGCTCAAGCAACCTCAAACTCCTGGGCTCAAGCGATTCTCTTGCCTCAGCCTCCCATGGAGCTGGGATGATAGGCGCCTGTTGTGCCCAAGTTACAAGGTCCCCCATAAATTACTCTGAGACTGCTACGATGCAAGAGGTGGTTTTATTATCAGACTCGAGTCAGGGCCTTCTACTCTTCCTGTCGCAGCAGAAGAGCAGAAGAGCCCTGATTCTAAAATGGAAGGGTGTTTTAAGGGGTACAGAAAGAAAGAAGGGAGGGGTAGTACTTGTCTTAAGCTGATTGGTCTGGGTAGATGTTGTACAAGGGGGCAAGTTACCGGACGTGTGCACAGTGGAGCGAAGACAAAGAAAAGGAGAGGGGGTTACTCTTCTCTGTTATGCAGCTTCTCTAAGTATAGCGTAGGGAGTAAACACAATGTCCTTGAGATGCAGGTGCAGCCTGAAGCTCTGGGTATGGGCAGTTTAGGAAGTAGTTAAAATAAAGTTAGTTTTGGCCCTTACAGGGCCCACCACAACTCCCGGCTATTTTTAGAGACGGGGGTCTCGCTCTGGCTCAGGCTGGTCTCAAACCTGTGAGCTCAGGTAATCCACCTGCCTCGGCCTCCCAAGTGCTGGGATTACAGGCGTGAGCCACTCCGCCCCGTAACTCATAGTTTTTAATTAAGGATTAAAATCTGTCTCTCTGCCTGCTTTCTCTTGCCAGCAGCCCCCTGCCCCAACCCTAGTGGATTTCTGTTTTCACAAACCATTGTAAACTCTTTCTCTTTACATTTCCCCAGCTCCTTTGTCTTTCAAACTTTGTTACTTTAAGTCTCAAGTGATTCCTCCTGAGTATCTTGGAGGAACAACGGAATATGAACAATTAGGCCTCAGGATTGGGAACATCTAGAAAAATGTCTGTCTTCAACCTTGTAGGAGGAAAAACAGACACAACATTCACATTACTTTTGTCCCCCCTAAATTCAGCAACCCAGTGGACCGCGGGGTAGGTTTTTTCCTTTCTTTGAAATGTCCAACCTTTTCTTCATGTCTTTTTCTCTCTTCTCTCTCTTCCACTCACCCCAATCTTCCTCTCTCGCACTCTCTGCTCTCTTCTTTCTCATCTCTTCCCCCTTCCCTCTCTCTAATATAAAATAAACTTAGGCTTTCTTAGTACCAACTGAGCTTTTTTCCCTCCCAGCCTATCAGTCCTTGAGGGAAGAAAGGATAGAATCCAGTACATAATCATAGGGAGCAGTAATAAGAATATGGACAATTCATCCACTGAAATAAAAGAGAAGGCAGAGTATATGTAGTGTAACTGCACATGCAGATAAGCAGACAAATATGGTGGTAAGAGAATGAAGATCCCCTCTTCTTGTTACCAAACCCACAAAGAGGTTAAGCCTAAGTCCTGTCACTCATTGCACAAAGAGGCCATTAGTTAGACAAGGAAGATCACCAAGCAAGAAGATTTTTTTTTTTTTTTTAGAGACAGAGTCTCACTTTATTGCCCTTGGTAGAGTGCTGTGGCATCACAGCTCACAGCAAACTCCAACTCCTGGGCTTAGGTGATTCTTTTGCCTCAGCCTCCCAAGTAGCTGGGACTACAGGCACCCACTACAATGCCCAGCTATTTTTTGTTGTAGTTTGGCCAGGGCCAGGTTCGAACCCATAATCCTTGGTATATGGGACCAGTGCCCTACCCACTGAGCCACAGGTTCCACCCAGGAAGAAAATTTTAATGCAAAAGTGTGAGGAGAATGGGAGAAATAGTCTCAAATCCATCTCTCTGACCAACTAAGGGCAAGGGCTTTTATAGTGGATTGTGGAATCCAGGTCAAGTTGTATGGGGTTTGAAGTCACAGGGTCTTTGCATGGTCTGATTCAAGAATCAGCTGTTGGTAATAGATGGTGAGTCCTGTGAAGAGGCTACTTAAGTCTAGTTTTTAGGCTTGACTGGTAAAGTCTAAAGGAGCAAAAAAATAACTTAGGGAGAGGGTAATTTTGCAAGGCTAAATCTGAATGCTTCTATTTTCTCAGTGAATTAGGAAGCTGAAAGTGAAGATGGGGAGAAAGTATTGAAGGTTTGAGAAGAGAAAATAAGTACTATCAGGGTTATGCTGGCCTCATAGAATGAGTTAGGAAGAGCTCCCACTGCTTGAGTTTTTTGAAATAGTTTGCGAAGAACTGGTATCAATTCTTCTTTAAAGGTTTGGGTAGAATTCAACAGTGAAACCATCCAGTCTTGGAATTTTCAATAATTAGGTATAGAAGGAAAGTGCCTCAATACAATAAAGACCATATATAACAAACTTCACCCACGCTGAAGCATAGTGCCTCAATCATAGCTCACTATAACTTCAAATTCCCTGCACTCAAGAAAATCTCCTTGATTTCTTTTTTCTTTCTTACTTTCTTTTTTTTCCTTTCTTTCTTTTTTTTTTTTTGCAGTTTTTGGCTGGGACTGGGCTTGAACCTACTGCCCCTGGCATATGGGACTAGCATCCTACTCCTTGAGCCACAGGCGTGGCTCTCCTTTTTTTTTTTTTTTTTTTTTGAGACAGAGTCTCACTTTGATGTCACAGCTCACAACAACTTCAAACTCTAGGGCTCAAGTGATTCTCTTGCCTCAGCCTCCCAAGTAGCTGGGACTACAGGTGCCCACCACAACGACTGGCTATATTTTTTTAGAGATGAGGTCTTGCTTTTGCTCAGGTTGGTCTTCAAATTGTGAGCTCAGGAAATCTACCCACCCCAGCCTCCCAGAGCACTAGGATTACAGGTGTGAGCCACCATGCCTGGCCTCTCCTTGATTGCTTTTTAGCTAGCTGTTCATTGTTTGTGTATAGAAGCACTACTGATTTTTATATGTTGACTCTGTATCTTGCAACTGTGCTGATTTTGTTTATTGGTTCTAAAAATTTTTTTCAGGGCAGGGCATATGGCTCATGCCTGTAATTCCAGAACTTCAGGAGGCTAAGATGGAAGGATCACTTGAGTCAGGAGTTCAAACCAGATTGGGCAGCTGGGTATGATGGCACAGGAGAATTGTTTGAACCCAGGGAGTTTCAGGTTATAATGAGCTATGATTGGGCCACTGCACTTCATCCTGGGTAACAGAGTGGGATCCTATCTCTAAAAGACAAAAAGATTTTTGGTAGAATCTTCAGGTTCCATATATAAGATCATATCATCTATAAACAGGGACAATTTGACTTCTTCTTTTCTAATTTGGATGACCTTCCTTTCTTTTGCCTAATTGATCTGCTAGAACATCCAGTACTATGTTGGATAAGAGTGGTAAAAGTGGGCATCCTTGCCTTGTCCCAGTTCTTAGTGGAAAAATATTTTAGCTTTTACCTATTCAGTGTGATATTAGCTGCGAGTTTGTCACATATGGAATTTATGGTATTGAGACACTTTCCTTCTGTACCAAACTTAATGAATTTGTTCTTATCATGAAGGGATGTTGAATTTTATCCAGTGATTTTTCTGCATCATTTGAGATGATTCTCTGGTTTTGTCATTCTGTTGATGTGATGTACCATGTTTATTGATTTGCATAGGTTGAATTATCCTTGCATTCCAGGGATAAATCTTATTTGGTCATGGTATATTACCTTTTTGATATATTATTGGATTCAGTTTGCTAGCATTTCATTGAGGATTTTTGTATCATATTAACAAGGGATATTGGCCTGCAGTTTTCTTTTTTGTTGTACCCTTATCTTGTTTTGCTATCAGGGTTTTGCTGGCCACACAGAATGACTTAGGAAGAGCTCCCACTGTTTGGGTTTTCTGGAATAGTTTGAGAACTGGTATCAATTCTTGAAAGGTTTGGGTAGAATATAGCAGTGAAACCATCTAGTCTTGGACTTTGCTTTGTTTAGGAGACATTTTATTTCTAATTCCATCTGGTTACATGTTATTGATCTGTTCCAGCTTTCTATTTCTTCTTGGTTCAATCTTGGTATATATTCAGGAATTTATCTGCTTCCTCTAGGCTTTCAAATCTATTGGCATAGAGTTGTTTGGAGTAGTCTCTAATGATCCTTTGCATTTCTTTGGTATTTGTTGTGACATCTCCTTTTTACTTCTGATTTTACTTATTTGGGTTTTCTTTTGTGTCTTAGTCTGGCTAATGATTTGTTAATTTTGTTCATCTTTTAAAAAACAACATTTTGTTTCATTGATCGTTTGTATTTTTACTCTTTTTATTTTTATTTTATTTTTGAGACAAAGTCTCACTTTGTCACCCTTGTAGCTGAGCCACATTAAAGGCTGCCATAACTTTGTTCTTGATTGAAACTGTCTCAAGGTCTTCAGGAAGGGATATTCCTTTGAAGACCCTCTGGAGAGATTAGAAGAACTAATCTAGTGGGAGGCAGGCACTGAAAACAGAGCATGCTGTGGTCAGGAATTTCCTGGAAGAGACCTGAGTAGCAGTAAATCAAGATAAGGTTATTGTGCTGCTAAGTTAAAGATTACATCTGTTCTTTACAGATGAATACTTTGTTCTTTGAAGCAAAAAGAGATAAATAAGGCTCATG